AAACTATTAAAAATATCTTCATTCTGTGATTGCCTGGAGCATTTTCTTGAGCTGAATAGTTGAACATGCTTAAAATCTCGATTCCTCGCTTCGTGGACTTCTTCTGTTAACTCTCCAAGTGGAAGAATATTCGATTCAATTATTATTTGACCATGACACAATACTTTGTGTACTGTTGGTGTTAGTTCCCTCCATGGATACAGAGATACAAGTAATTTAGAAATTTCAGACGTGTATTCCCCAAATCGATTTTCATTAATTTTATGTTTACTATTCAGTGCCATTAAAATAGTGTTAACTCTTCGAAGCAACTCCTTGTCGATTCCAGTTATTTTTGAAGTAATTTCAAAATCACGAAAAAACCTTCTCGACGTATTACCGTCATTTGTACTACCGCAACTTGAAAGTGGTTTGTCGATGTTTAATCCCATCTGAACTTTAAATTCTTCTTGGATTATGCTTTTTTCCGCAGCTCTCAGTTCTTTCAATTCTTCATTATTTTTTGTTGATTTAGTAGGATAGTTTGTTTTTTTTTTCCTGGATCGCCTTGTATGATGGTAATATATTGTGTCCTTTTTCATGCAGAGCTTTCCTTAATATTTGGTACTTATTTCGACTGAGACCCAGTTCCAACATAAGCGCTATTGCTTCCTCTTCAGTAAAATTTGATTATGATGTTGGAGTTGGTATACTTTCCACAATTCGCTTAAGTCGTTTTGGTGATGCATTAGGAAGAATAGTTGCAATATGTACGACATCCATATGTTGGTTTTCCTTTTTCAGCATTTCGTTAAATGTATCAGCAATTTCCTCATTTGAGATTGAAAAAAGTTTTTGTGTGACCCTCTTTTTTTTTACCTTGAACATAAGTCTTCGTATGACTTGCAAGGCGCTCCTGTTGATGTGTTGTAAGTTGAGATTTCCGTAGTAGTTTCCATCCAACTACAAAATTTTAATCGAAATTTCTTTTGATTTCCATCCACAGACTTACTTTTTACATCAAAAAGTTTTAAAAAGTTTTCAATTTTTGATATGCCTGTTTTGTCTACTTTTCTACTATATGTAGTTTTTATATAATTTGAAATGTCTTCAATTCTTTCTGGCCCTTTTGAAGATATACTCCATAAAACGGAACACAACTCTTCGTACTTTAATGTAATCTTCATTGTAGATTTATTAAATATGGTACTTAAAATCTGAGAAGTTTACTTATATACCAATTCTTGTCATTTCCGATACAGGTATTCCAAAGTAAAAAATTACGAATTGTCTACCTATTAACATTTAGGACTATATTACTATAACCTGTAATTCAGTCATTGATATTTCTTATTAGTGAATGAATCGAAATTATCATTACCTGTATATTTTTACCTACATGATCATAAACGAAACAGAACGAAATGATCTGTCGAAAAAATTTAGGTAAAAAATAGTTATAAATTTTTGAAAATTTAAGCATAATAGGACCTTTCAATTATAATGATAAGCAAACAAATAGAAAATAGGTAAATATAAGATTTAAATATGTGCTGTCATACTTAATACTAAAATATGAAAAAGATGAAATTAAAGGACACAGGTTTAAATGAACATATTTTTGAATGTAATTGAGATATTGGCTTGAAATTTTTTGTAAAGGGTCGAGAATTTCCATATCTAACTAAAAAATGATATTAAGGGATAAATATGGACTAAATTGTTGTAGCTATCTGCGATCCTATTAAAATTTTGATATAAATCATAGTTTTAGAAATTAAACAAATATGTAATATATGACAAAATCTTTATTTATGAACAAAACTCAATGAAATTTTCAACGCTTGTTAAATTTGTCATTTCAAATAAGAATATGCAAAAAAAAAAATTGAAAAGGTCAAAGGGCATCCCGCAATTCCCAAAAATAGGAATGAAAATCCCAAAAATGGGATTTTTTACTTTTTTGCCCATAGGGTCCACATTTCTTTCAGGGCTGGGAAAATACTTTTGGAGTAAATAGAAAACATATTGAGGTTTCCAAAACTGCTTTCAGTTTTCTGATCCCAGCTTTGGGATTTTAGAACATGTCGCCCAAAGTTGAAGTTTTGATAAAAAATAGGTCATATTCGGAAGGACGCAGTGGCAACATTTTCAAAAAATAGGACAAGTTTTTTACGCCAAAGCGTTCTGCGTAAAGATACCTTTTAGAAAACTATAAAATTGTTATATGTTCTTAATAAAAATTTTATTTTATTAATAAAAGAGTTAAGACACATTTTTGGCAAAAAAATGCCAAAAATCTAAAATTTTTTGAATTTTTAAATTAAAAAACGTATATTTTTGGATCTGTAAACAATATTGATCTGAAATTTTTTGTATATTATTGGAAATTTTGTTGTCTAACTAACAAGAAAAAATTGAGTCCATTTGGTCCAAAATTACGCCCGGTATTCAAAAAAAGGCGGACCAAGGTATGGTAAATTTTGTATCACTAAATTTTTATATGCCTATAACTCGGATATTATAAGAGATAAGTAGTATGTCCAAGCATGTTTTTTCAAGATCTCGTCGAGCGCTTTCACAAAATATAAAAATCTTTGTATTTGGGTGAAAAACAAAAAAATGGCACGAGTTTAATAATTTTACATGTCGTAGGTACCCTACTTTGAGCCGCCACAGCGCCGTCCCTGCGGCATCTGCAGGGTTCATCTTCAAAACTTAAACTCGAATACTCCTTGGCTTCGCTCACGCCAAATTTTATCCCGATCGGATCAGCCGTTTAGAAATGCCAGATTTATTTCCAAAAAATTTCCATTCTGCCCCACTGTGCACAGTCCTACACGTTAGTCTAAATATATTTATAGATGTGTAACCACTTTGATATACATATGTTAATAAATATAGAGTTATAATGTTTTCATAAACTATTGCATTTTCTGCAGTATTCATTTGACAATGAAATCCATCATTACATTTTTGCAAATTATAAGCATATTCGTTTGCTGCAATTGTCAGTCCGCAGGACAGCTCGAGAATAAGCGTAAATGGCTGGAAATTGATAATAATTTATATCGTATTGTAACCGAGGATAAGGTGGGAAGGAATTATCGAAAATTATTTTTTACAACTGAAATTTAAGTTATCTTTCGTATTATAGTACACTTGGAAACAGGCAGAGACCGCTTGCCTAAAAGAGCATTTAAATTTAATAACTCCCAAAAGTGACTACGATTATGTGAAACTGAAGGAAGCTCTAAAACGTGAAATTAGTGAGTAGTTATGTTTTGGACTTAATGTTTTATATTAATTTTTTTCTTTTCATTATTATTAATTCAATATCAAAAGGAACTGATTCATCGTTTTGGATTAATACTAAAGAAGAAATGAAGAACATTATGCAGTTCATGGGTTTAGACAAGGAACAGAAGTGCAATAAAATAGATTCGACAACATTTAAGGCAGAAATACACGACTGCCAGGATAGACTGGGTTTCATATGTCAGAGATCATTTTTAAAGGACTTTTCCACGTTTAATGACGGCAAGAAAATCTATTTAGTGCAACCACATCAGAAAGTAGGTTAAAATTTTAAGCATTTTCTAAGAAGTCATACTATACTCCAGTCTGTTATCTAGACTATGGATTTATAGTGTTACTCTATAAGCTTGACTATGATCTAGTCTATAGTCTAGACTTTGGTCTAGACTTTGGTCTAGTCTATTGTCTAGACTTTGGTCTAGTCTATAGTCTTGTATAGACTAGACTATAGACTAGACTAGAGTAGACTAGACTAGGCTAGGAGTAGACTAGGCTAGGCTAGGAGTAGACTAGGCTAGACTAGGCTGGACTAGACTGTAGACTAGACTATAGACTAGACTCTAGACTAGAAGACTATAGACTAGACGACTATATACTAGACTATAGACTAGATTATAGACTAGACTATAGACTAGATTATAGACTAGACTATAGACTAGACTATAGACTAGACTATAGACTAGACTATAGACTAGACTATAGACTAGATTATATACTAGACTATAGACTAGATTATAGACTAGACTATAGACTAGACTATAGACTAGACGACTATAGACTAGACGACTATAGACTAGACGACTATAGGCTAGACTATAGACCAGACTATAAGCTAGACTATAGACTAGACTATAGACTAGACTATAAGCTAGACCATAGACTAGACTATTGGCTAGACTATAGACTAGACTATAGACTAGACTATAGGCTAGACTATAGACTACACTATGGCCTAGACTATAAACTAGACTATGGCCTAGACTATAGACTAGACTATGGCCTAGACTATAGACTAGACTATAGTTTGCTCTATAGTTCAATTATCATTCATTTATCAAATTCGTTCTTTTAGTTTTCCTGCAAACAAGCCTTTTCTGAGTGCGAACAACGTCATATGCATCTGCTGCATTTTAACAAATATACCAACAACATTTTACTCAAGGACTATATCTTTCTCAATTACAATTCTAATATCAGTTTCCATCTTAGTGGAACCGACAATAATTGTGAATCTCTGCCACATGATAAAAACAAGCATAATATGGGTTACATATGTGAGCAGTTGTATATAAGGAATTCTGGTGTTATTATGAGACACTGGATTTTGATTATATTTGTATCATCTCTATTTATTTTAGCCATTACGTTTAAAATAATTCAAATATTTCTGTGCAATAGAAATGTCAAACAGTTCAATTACGAAAGCTTTAAAGAATAAAATATCACATTCTTAATTGATGTTTACTTATAAAATCACTTTTTTTATGTTTCCTTTTTTTGCAACAAAGAAATTAATTACACAATAATCTAATACGTTATCATATTCATTTGTTTGAGGATTACAATATCGATGTACGCCTTCTATATCAATTTCATATTTTGTACCATTTTTATAGCGTAAAGTAGCGCCGTCAAAACGTCTTTTACATATAAAACCCAAGCGGATCAAGCAATTTTCCTCACTAAACAGATCGTCGGCCGTTAATTTAAAACATGAGTTAGATTTTAATGAATTAAGTTGCTGATATTTTTGATTGTCGTACGTCCATAGTGAGGATGATATATCTGAAAAATATAAAAGAACAATTTTAGTTTTTTACGTGCCCAATAGTTTTGACTATAATCACTTAGTCGAGTCGATAATCTAGTCCATAGTATAGTCTTAGTCAAGTCTATAGTCAAGTCTATAGTCTAGTCTATAGTCTAGTCTATAGTCTAGTCTATAGTCTAGTCTATAGTCTAGTCTATAGTCTAGTCTATAGTCTAGTCTAGTCTAGTCTATAGTCTAGTCTATAGTCTAGTCTATAGTCTAGTCTATAGTCTAGTCTATAGTCTAGTCTATAGTCTAGTCTATAGTCTAGTCTATAGTCTAGTCTATAGTCTAGTCTATAGTCTAGTCTATAGTCTAGTCTATAGTCTAGTCTATAGTCTAGTCTATAGTCTAGTCTATAGTCTAGTCTATAGTCTAGTCTATAGTCTAGTCTATAGTCTAGGTCTATAGTCTAGTCTAGTAGTCTAGTAGTCTATAGTCTAGTCTATAGTCTAGTCTATAGTCTAGTCTATAGTCTAGTCTATAGTCTAGTCTATAGTCTAGTCTATAGTCTAGTCTATAGTCTAGTCTATAGTCTAGTCTATAGTCTAGTCTATAGTCTAGTCTATAGTCTAGTCTATAGTCTAGTCTATAGTCTAGTCTATAGTCTAGTCTATAGTCTAGTCTATAGTCTAGTCTATAGTCTAGTCTATAGTCTAGTCTATAGTCTAGGTCTATGGGTCTAGTCTAGTCTATAGTCTAGTCTATCGTCTAGTCTATAGTCTAGTCTATAGTCTAGTCTATAGTCTAGTCTATAGTCTAGTCTATAGTCTAGTCTATAGTCTAGTCTATAGTCTAGTCTATAGTCTAGTCTATAGTCTAGTCTATAGTCTAGTCTATAGTCTAGTCTATAGTCTAGTCTATAGTCTAGTCTATAGTCTAGTCTATAGTCTAGTCTATAGTCTAGTCTATAGTCTAGTCTATAGTGTAGTCTATAGTCTAGTCTATAGTCTAGTCTATAGTCTAGTATATAGTCTAGTCAATAGTCTAGTCTATAGTCTAGTCTATAGTCTAGTCAATAGTCTAGTCTAGTCTATAGTCTAGTCTATAGTCTAGTCTATAGTCTAGTCTATAGTCTAGTCTATAGTCTAGTCTATAGTCTAGTCTATAGTCTAGTATATAGTCTAGTCAATAGTCTAGTCTATAGTCTAGTCTATAGTCTAGTCAATAGTCTAGTCTATAGTCTAGTCTATAGTCTACTCTAGTCTATAGTCTAGTCTATAGTCTACTCTAGTCTATAGTCTAGTCTATAGTCTAGTCTATAGTCTAGTCTATAGTCTAGTCTATAGTCTAGTCTATAGTCTAGTCTATAGTCTAGTCTATAGTCTAGTCTATAGTCTAGTCTATAGTCTAGTCTATAGTCTAGTCTATAGTCTAGTCTATAGTCTAGTCTATAGTCTAGTCTATAGTCTAGTCTATAGTCTAGTCTATAGTCTAGTCTATAGTCTAGATAGTCTAGTCTATAGTCTAGTCTAGTCTAGTCTATAGTCTAGTCCTATAGTCTAGTCTATAGTCTAGTCTATAGTCTAGTCTATAGTCTAGTCTATAGTCTAGTCTATAGTCTAGTCTATAGTCTAGTCTATAGTCTAGTCTATAGTCTAGTCTATAGTCTAGTCTATAGTCTAGTCTATAGTCTAGTCTATAGTCTAGTCTATAGTCTAGTCTATAGTCTAGTCTATAGTCTAGTCTCTATAGTCTAGTCTATAGTCTAGTCTATAGTCTATTCTATAGTCTAGTCTATAGTCTAGTCTATAGTCTAGTCTATAGTCTAGTCTATAGTCTAGTCTATAGTCTAGTCTATAGTCTAGTCTATAGTCTAGTCTATAGTCTAGTCTATAGTCTAGTCTATAGTCTAGTCTATAGTCTAGTCTATAGTCTAGTCTATAGTCTAGTCTATAGTCTAGTCTAGTCTATAGTCTAGTCTATAGTCTAGTCTATAGTCTAGTCTATAGTCTAGTCTATAGTCTAGTCTATAGTCTAGTCTATAGTCTAGTCTATAGTCTAGTCTATAGTCAAGTCTATAGTCTAGTCTATAGTCTAGTCTATAGTCTAGTCTATAGTCTAGTCTATAGTCTAGTCTATAGTCTAGTCTATAGTCTAGTCTATAGTCTAGTCTATAGTCTAGTCTATAGTCTAGTCTATAGTCTAGTCTATAGTCTAGTCTATAGTCTAGTCTATAGTCTAGTCTATAGTCTAGTCTATAGTCTAGTCTATAGTTTAGTCTATAGTCTAGTCTATAGTCTAGTCTATAGTCTAGTCTATAGTCTAGTCTATAGTCTGGTCTATAGTCTAGTCTATAGTCTAGTCTATAGTCTGGTCTATAGTCTAGTCTATAGTCTAGTGTATAGTCTAGTCTATAGTCTAGTCTATTGTCGTCTATGTCTAGTCTATAGTCTAGTCTATGGTCTAGTCTAGTCTATAGTCTAGTCTGGTCCAGAGTCTAGTCTGGTCCAGAGTCTAGTCTATAGTATTGTATATTGCCTGTCTGTTTTTGGTTTGACTTAGTCAAGTCTCGATATTTACCATAAATTTCTTGAATCTGTGTAAATAAATCATCTACTTCCGATTTATTAATGGTGTACATCATATCTTTCTGGCGACAAAAATGCTGAGTTTCATTGGATGTAAACTGAAATACATATAAGGAAAATTTAAACTTTAGTTTTCCAGTTTAATATCTTAGTTACTCACATTCGATTCGATTTCAATATAATATATAAATTTATCTCGTAAAAAGTATTTCATAACATTCTTGTTAGTTTCACTTTCAGTTGTAGTTATTAAAGTAAAAATAAATAAAATATTAAAAACTAAAAACAATAATTGCATTATAAACTTAATTTTTAACACTAGAAATGTTCTCTTGTTTAAAGTTGACAAGCGAATACACGAGTCTAAGCTGACTGACATGAAGTGATGCTAAAAATATATAAACATATGATTTATACATAGATCCATGAAAACCACTGATTGTTTGGTTAGACATTTTCATAGTAAAAAATTATGGGGTTTTTAAAAGTAATTTATTATTATGATTATAGTTTTCTTAATTTCTTTCTTTTTCCTTTATTGAAACTGTAGATGTTTTCATAAATGTATTAAACAAGAATACAAATCATTTTTTACTAAATTTAACTGAGGATCACAATATTGTTTAATATCGTTTTTATAGACATGTTGTAATGAATTTTTGTAAAATAAAGTGGCCGATGTCATACGAACTTTGCATATATAACCTGACTTTTCTGTACAACTTTTAGGTTGGAAGTTCTCGGAACTTGCGTTAAATTGAAAACATGACTGCATTTTTATGTGAGTATTAAGAACATTATTAAAAAACTCATTTTTATAAGTCCACAAACCGGGGAAGTCACCTTAAAAAAAATATTTTCAATTAGTACACATTTCCGGTATTTATAAGTATATTAAACTATTATTTACCATAACTCTGCCTTAAATGTGGCAATAATTGTATTGCATTTAATCGTGATATCGTTACCGACATTCCCAATTTATCGCACAGACTTTGTGTGAAATTAGAGCTAAACTATTTAAAATTTATATAAAAATTTTAAGAAATTTCTTTTTTAAATTCGAAAACTTACATTTTGTTCGATATTTACATAGTAAAGATATTCACCATGCATAAACCACGGTGGAGGTTTTGTACAATTATTTAAATTCATTTTTAATATAAAAATCACTAAAATTATTAATATCTTATGAATATATTGCATTTTATTTTCAGAATTATTATTGAGAATTGTATTTAGCTGTATGTTTACGGTTTGAGCAATTAAATGAAACTATTAAATGATTCTTAATACATCGTATTGATTTCAACATGGTAGAGCGTATTTATTTTTATATATGTATATTTTTATACCCTTACGGTTGTTTTGATATGATTATTTTCATTATATAATACAGCTGAAACTCGATACACGAGGGATTTTCAGCAATGCGGGATTCACATTTAAAGGCATATCTTTTGAATGCGGCTTTTGTCTTTGGTAATATATATATAAGAGGTTTTGAAAATTCAGTACTTTTTGATATCGAAAAATACCGCTTTACCCCCCGACATTTTCGGTACTTTTTTTAACTTAAAAACTGTTCGTAAATAGTCTACAAAGTAGTCTATAGATCAGTTTGTAGTCTATTGTAGTGTATAATTTATTATTTTGTTTAGTCTACATTAGTCTACTGTATAAACTAGTATATAGTATAGCCTAGCAGTAGTATAGTCAAGTCTTTAGTCCATGGTCTAGTATATAGCCTTATGTTTAGTCTTGTCTATAGTCTAACTTATAGTCAAGTCTATAATATAACATATAGTCTAGTTTATAGTCTAGTCTATGGTTTTGTCTATAGTCTAGTCTATAGTCAAGTCTATAGTCTAGTATATGGTCTATAATATAGTCTATAGTCTAGTCTATAGTCTAGTATTATAGTCTAGTATTATAGTCTAGTATTATAGTCTAGTATTATAGTCTAGTATTATAGTCTAGTCTATAGTCTAGTCTATAGTATAGACTATAGTCTAGTCTATAGTCTAGTCTATAGTCTAGTCTATAGTCTAGTCTATAGTCTAGTCTATTGTCTAGTCTATAGTCTAATCTATTGTCTAGACTATAGTCTAATCTATAGTCTAGTCTATTGTTTAGACTATAGTCTAGTCTGTAGTCTAGTCTAGGCTATAGTCTTGTCTATAGTCTTGTCTATAGTCTTGTCTATAGTCTAGTCTATAGTCTAGTCTATAGTCTAGTCTATAGTCTAGTCTATAGTCTAGTCTATAGTCTAGTCTATAGTCTAGTCTATAGTCTAGTCTATAGTCTAGTCTATAGTCTAGTCTATAGTCTAGTCTATAGTCTAGTCTATAGTCTAGTCTATAGTCTAGTCTATAGTCTAGTCTATAGTCTAGTATAGTCTAGTCTATAGTCTAGTCTATAGTCTAGTCTATAGTCTAGTCTATAGTCTAGTCTATAGTCTAGTCTATAGTCTAGTCTATAGTCTAGTCTATAGTCTAGTCTAGTCTAGTCTATAGTCTAGTCTATAGTCTAGTCTATAGTCTAGTCTATAGTCTAGTCTATAGTCTAGTCTATAGTCTAGTCTATAGTCTAGTCTATAGTCTAGTCTATAGTCTAGTCTATAGTCTAGTCTATAGTCTAGTCTATAGTCTAGTCTATAGTCTAGTCTATAGTCTAGTCTATAGTCTAGTCTATAGTCTAGTCTATAGTCTAGTCTATAGTCTAGTCTATAGTCTAGTCTATAGTCTAGTCTATAGTCTAGTCTATAGTCTAGTCTATAGTCTAGTCTATAGTCTAGTCTATAGTCTAGTCTATAGTCTAGTCTATAGTCTAGTCTATAGTCTAGTCTATAGTCTAGTCTATAGTCTAGTCTATAGTCTAGTCTATAGTCTAGTCTATAGTCTAGTCTATAGTCTAGTCTAGTCTAGTAGTCTAGTCTATAGTCTAGTCTGATAGTCTATCTAGTCTAGTCTAGTCTAGTCTATAGTCCTTCTATGTTTCTATAGTCTAGTCTATAGTCTAGTCTATAGCTCTAGGCATAGTCTAGTCCTATAGTCCTAGTCTATAGTCTAGTCTATAGTCTAGTCCTATAGTCTAGTCTATAGTCTAGTCTATAGTCTAGTCTATAGTGCTAGTTATAGTCTAGTCTATAGTCAAGTTATAGTCTAGTATATGGTCCTATAATATAGTCCTATAGTCTAGTCCTATAGTCTAGTATTATAGTCTAGTATTATAGTCTAGTATTATAGTCTAGTATTATAGTCTAGTTTATAGTATAGACCTATAGTCCTAGTCTATAGTCTAGGTCTATAGTCTAGTCTATAGTTCTAGGTCTATAGTCTAGTCTATAGTCTAGTCTATAGTCTAATCTATAGTCTAGACTATAGTCTAATCTATAGTCTAGTCTATTGTTTAGACTATAGTCTAGTCTGTAGTCTAGTCTAGGCTAGTATTGTCTATAGTCTTGTCTATAGTCTTGTCTATAGTCTAGTCTATAGTCTAGTCTATAGTCTAGTCTATAGTCTAGTCTATAGTCTAGTCTATAGTCTAGTCTATAGTCTAGTCTATAGTCTAGTCTATAGTCTAGTCTATAGTCTAGTCTATAGTCTAGTCTATAGTCTAGTCTATAGTCTAGTCTATAGTCTAGTCTATAGTCTAGTCTATAGTCTAGTCTAGTCTAGTCTATAGTCTAGTCTATAGTCTAGTCTATAGTCTAGTATAGTCTAGTCTATAGTCTAGTCTATAGTCTAGTCTATAGTCTAGTCTATAGTCTAGTCTATAGTCTAGTCTATAGTCTAGTCTATAGTCTAGTCTATAGTCTAGTCTATAGTCTAGTCTATAGTCTAGTCTATAGTCTAGTCTATAGTCTAGTCTATAGTCTAGTCTATAGTCTAGTCTATAGTCTAGTCTATAGTCTAGTCTATAGTCTAGTCTAGTCTAGTCTATAGTCTAGTCTATAGTCTAGTCTATAGTCTAGTCTATAGTCTAGTCTATAGTCTAGTCTATAGTCTAGTCTATAGTCTAGTCTATAGTCTAGTCTATAGTCTAGTCTATAGTCTAGTCTATAGTCTAGTCTATAGTCTAGTCTATAGTCTAGTCTATAGTCTAGTCTATAGTCTAGTCTATAGTCTAGTCTATAGTCTAGTCTATAGTCTAGTCTAGTCTATAGTCTAGTCTATAGTCTAGTCTATAGTCTAGTCTATAGTCTAGTCTATAGTCTAGTCTATAGTCTAGTCTATAGTCTAGTCTATAGTCCTAGTCTATAGTCTAGTCTATAGTCTAGTCTATAGTCTAGTCTATAGTCTAGTCTATAGTTAGTCTATAGTCTAGTCTATAGTCTAGTCTATAGTCTAGTCTATAGCTAGTCTATAGTCTAGTCTATAGTCTAGTCTATAGTCTAGTCTATAGTCTAGTCTATAGTCTAGTCTATAGTCTAGTCTATAGTCTAGTCTATAGTCTAGTCTATAGTCTAGTCTATAGTCTAGTCTATAGTCTAGTCTATAGTCTAGTCTATAGCCTAGTCTATAGTCTAGTCTATAGTCTAGTCTATAGCCTAGTCTATAGTCTAGTCTATAGTCTAGTCTATAGTCTAGTCTATAGTCTAGTCTATAGTTTAGTCTATAGTCTAGTCTATAGTCTAGTCTATAGTCTAGTCTAGTCTATAGACTAGTCTATAGTCTAGTCTAGTCTATAGTCTAGTCTAGTCTATAGTCTAGTCTATAGTCTAGTCTATAGTCTAGTCTATAGTCTAGTCTATAGTCTAGTCTATAGTCTAGTCTATAGTCTAGTCTATAGTCTAGTCTATAGTCTAGTCTAGTCTATAGTCTAGTCTATAGTCTAGTCTATAGTCTAGTCTATAGTCTAGTCTATAGTCTAGTCTATAGTCTAGTCTATAGTCTAGTCTATAGTCTAGTCTAGTCTAGTCTATAGTCTACTCTATAGTCTAGTCTATAGTCTAGTCTAGTCTATAGTCTAGTCTATAGTCTAGTCTATAGTCTAGTCTATAGTCTAGTCTATAGTCTAGTCTAGTCTAGTCTATAGTGTAGTTTGTAGTCTAGTCTATAGTCTAGTCTATAGTCTAGTCTATAGTCTAGTCTATAGTCTAGTCTATAGTCTAGTCTATAGTCTAGTCTACAGTCTACTCTATAACCTAAATTATAGTGTAGTCTATAGTTTAAAACAGTTGTGATAACTTAGTCGAAGTTACAAAGGATTTGGTAGCTATAGCCTTTTGAGACTATCGACCGAAAAATTAATTTTTTGAAAGGAAATATGGGGGATCTCAACATAAGCTTAATTTAAAATTTAAACGAAGTTATAAATTAATTTAGGTTTTCAACCAAAAAGGTAGTTTTTTAAAGAAAAATTTTAATCGTGTTTTAACAAAAAATAAAATGAATAACCATTTCCATTAACAATGTGGAATCATTAGATGAACTTAGTTAATTTATATTAGCAAAGCTTAATATTTTACGCCTTAAAATATACTTTAAGAAAAATTTATTTTAGTTTAAACAAGCTAATCTCAAGAGAATAACAAATTTAACATTCTCTTATTTTTAAAAATTTTTTATTCATTTCTTTAAACTCTCTTGAGTTTTTTTAAAGCTTTTATTTAACCAGATCTCTGCTTAACATTTCAAGAATTAAAGCTCGCCTTAATAAACCACTCTCACTTTCAGCCTAAAGTTTTAAGACAAGTCCATAAAAATTTTCTTTTGGAAGCAGCAGCAAACAAGCTGTTGTTGTGTTTTATAGACCCCTCTTTACCTGGTAATTTTTGTATTGTTGTCAGCATTTCTTGGGGCTGCTCTGTTTGTTTGAATGTATGAATGGACGGACGGATGGATGTGTGTTTTTGTTGGTGGCAGGCAGCTTTAAGTGCCGTTGGTCAAAGAGCCAACAACATTGGCAACAATAATAATAATAACAACAACAATAAGAAAAAGCTGTTTGTTGTTGACTGTTATTTATGTTGTTTTTTGTTGTATTTTTTCTTTTTATTAATTTCGTTGTATGTATATTTTTGATTTTATTTTAAGCTTGATTTTCAACTTGTTTTAAAAGTTTATTTAACTTGTCTTGCGTTGTTTTTGTTGTTATTGTAATTTAAAACAAAAATATACTATATAAAATAACAAAATATATAAAACAGCAGCAACAACAAAGTCTCTACTTCTTTTACAATATTTTTTTTTTATATTTGTTGTTGTTGATTTTTTTTTGCATTTTGTGCCAAATTGGGTGTAACTTGTAT